ACCCTAGAGAGTATAAAGGCTGGCGTTTCAAGCATTAGCCCTTCGTCTTTTGCTTTGATGAAGGGCTAACACTACAAACGTCAGCTTTGAAACTCTTTACGGTGGCTAATTTATGTTATCAACTCAGTTGATAATACTAAATTTCCTTGTTATACTCTCCCACTGATGCAGCACCACAGTTTCTTTAGAAACTTACCCCCTTTATTCAATTATCTGCACCTTGCTTAAGTCAATAAAAGCCCTCCCTTCTCCCCCTAGATTCAGACATATTTCAAATCGATTTGCATTTGCACCATACCTTGAATCTCCATTTCAAACATGTCCTCTTCTTCAGGGTGAAAACGTCTGTATATCTCGGAGAGGATAACTTCACGCTCATCAGGAGAATTAATGCCAATCTCCTCTGGAATGAAAGATTAAACAACATTTATTTCAAAGTTACTTTTTTAGCACAACTTCTTTGCATCAGTTTTCTGTTGGTTAAAAGCAAAAGTCTACCGAAGAGTTTACACCTCAAAGAAACCAGAGTCAAATACTAACCAAGTAACTGGAAATTGATGTTTTTTAAGACTCTTCCATCCACATGATGCTCTGAAAATACATAAATAGAAACACAATGTTTTAATTTCATGCAGAAACTCATTACACATTCAATTTTGAAGAGACCTGTTGTGTTCGTTAAACATTGGTTTCAATGAGTTGTGCAAAAACAATAATCTTTTTATCATGGGGATTGCCATGTACTTAAAAGAACAAGTTATTTTGACTGTCTCTGAGGCAATGACATTTAAAAAACTGTTCCCTGAAAAACTTAAAAATTGTAAGTAACTATTGATATGAGGAGGTGATAGTTCAAATTCTAATTTTTAGGTTTGATCCATTACTGTCCAATCATCATTTGATATCATGTTCACTGAAAACTTTCAATTAAGGTTGGCACAACAAATACTGTGCAATCATACAAACCTCTGAACTCTGTTGCAAAATGTCCCAAACCAATGAAATCTAACCAGTCCACACAATCATCTTCCGTCCACACCTCTAAAGCAAGGTTGTGAAATCTTTTATCTTCTTGTGGCTGAAAGCACAACACAAAGAACCTTCACTTGACAGTACTTTAAGGGTAAAGTTATCTTGAACTCTTTCACTACTATTCAAAATTATGAATCATGACAAGTTTTTGTAAAAAAAAGAAATGACCATTTCACTTCCAAGATCTAACTGTTGTTTCTTGAAATTCTGTAATTCATTTCTTTCTTATCTTGCTCTGATAACTTAGAGTTAATCAAACAGTATCCCCTACAAATATTTTTCTTTCCTCTCATTACCTTTCTGGTAGACAATGTATCAATACTGTATAGATAAATTACTAACGGGTCACAAACTGGGAGTGAATCATCAGGTCTCAACAATGTCTCTCAAAACATTTTGCACTTATTCAGTGATCAGGCACATAATGCACGTTCATTAAAAGATTTCTCTGTTAAAAATTACAAAATTGTCTTTACCAAAAACATGACAAAATGTCTAGGCCAGAAATAAAAGAGGTGTGTGGAATGAATCCCTAAGTGACCTTAGATGCAGCATTCACTTTTTAACTCTTAAGATCTGATTGTTAATTCTCCCTTCTAGCTTCAACTCATTCCCTTGTCAATAAGTTATGAGAATTTGGTGATAGATCAACATAACAACTTCTACCTGACTGTCTAAGTTTGAGTATTCTCATTACCAGGGAAAAACACACATGAACCTCCCTTTTCTTTTACCTGTACCTCTAATAGAGAGGAGGGAATAACAGGGGATGGCAAATCGCCTTCATATCCATTCTCAAGCACATCTGAATCCTCTACTTCTTCTTTTATCTCTGCCTCATCAGAGCTAAAACGATAATGACAAACAGCAATGTGATTTAGAAAGACAATGCATTCAATTCTAATTTTTACTTACATGCATCTCCATTGATTTGGTTTAAGATTTCTGCTCTGTTTTAATTATACATTGAACCCTTTAACTCCCATGAGTGACCAACAGAGAATTTCTCTTTTCAGTAGCAATGCAAAATCAAGCAGGCAAGTAACAAGAATAAAGAAAAATAGTGATTTGCAGGAATTTCAGGCAATCCAATACCAAATTCTCTAAACTAACATTGTAAGAATTGTAAAGCAGATAGTAAGGAGAATTATTGATTAGATCTTGGGGGTGAAAGGCTTAAAATAATAAATCTGCCATTAGTGTTATTACTTTTGTTTGTTTTTTTGTTTTGTTGTTTATTTTTTTGATGTCTCTAATTATGCTGTAATGACCAGTAGAACAACGTCTCAGAATTACATCTGAATTGTATCTAATATTCCCTACTTGGGGAATACAAAACTAAAGTTGATTAACCTCAATGCATGAGGTTACTTTTAAGGTCTCAAACCTTAAAATTTTTAGTAACCAATGTTAGCAAAGTGCTTTATGACTTTTAACTGAAGAATATTGATTTGGAATTTATAAATAAGTTCTTATCTTCTTGCAATTTCAAAGAAGACTCTAGCTGTACTTCAGAGTTGGAGATTGTGAGGTGATCTTTTGAAGAAAAAGGATTATTAAATGAAAAAATAAAAAAGTGAAATTCATTGATAAACTACCTGGCAAACATAGGAGGAGGCTCAAACAAAATTTCATCGCTTCCCTCTGACTCTGATGTCTCTGTCATGATTTGCAATGGTGGATCCATTAGGCCATCATCATCCAGTTCAGAGCCTCTGAGTACTTGAGAGAAAAAACCATGTCAGTAAAACACATAAATTTACACATTTGAAGCAACTTTATGTACCAAGTTATAAAGTAAACAATGATAACACATTTAATATTCTTTTACATGAAATAATACACACATTGTCATGCAATTAGTCAAACCAGACATCACATAGTAACGGCTGTAAAAAATTTAAACATTCCAAACTATTTCCTAAAACCCTTGGCATTAATGTATAAATGGGCGATACTAACTGTCTGACCTTAAAATGTGTGACCATATTCCAAGGCTATCTTAACATATGCATACCACTTTCCAAGCAAATCCATCAGATTAATGACAATTTTACGACAATGCAAGTCTAGATGCATGATCAAAAAGGCTTAATCCAACGTTTTTGTACAATAAATTTCCTACAACAAACTCTTTCCAATACCATCCCTGATTTTGTTCTGTCTGGTGACTGATACTCTGAAAAAGGGTCTTCAAAGGCCCTTTATCAGCAAATATTATAAGAATACATCTGATTGTAAAAATATATGTTTAAGAACATTTTAGCATCACGTTCCATCACATTGTCACATACTGTAATATATTTAAGAACCCTGAACATAGACTTTATACTACTAGTGATACATGTGCTCAAATAAGCAAGGATACTAAAGGGGCACAGTTTTATCTTTTACCAAACCAATTACCTGTGAATTGTAAATTTATTTTACAATCAAATTAATGATTCAGTTTGCCTTCCATGTAATAAACTTCCAAGCTTTGCAACAGACATACCAAATTTTTGGAAACAAACAAAGCAAAAACTAACATGTGTCTTGGTTAAGAGTAAATGCAATATTCTCACTTATAAATCCTCTTATACCATGCCACAAGACTGAAACTAACCACAAACACTATCTTGAACAAAAACTGTCGCACCGAAATGCTATATTCCTCTTCAAATAGTTTCGATTCAAACATCATACACACATCCTTCATCCATTTTTAAAAGATAGAAAATACTAAAAAACAAAAATTAGAGGAAGCGATGAACATTCAAAATACAGAAAGGTTGTCAGCAGAATTCTTTTACAGAAAGAAGGTACTCACCCGAAAGAAGTAGCTCAAAATATAACAAGGCATATGACAAGGCAAAGCAACCATTTCAAAAATTTTGAACACTTAAATGAAGTATTTTGAACTCATGTTGACACAAAGAGGCCCAAATTGTCTACACCTCTCTATCATCGATATAATTTCAACTTCAACAAACCTTCTAAAGGATCCATTTTTCACCACAAAATGTTTGACAGAAATGATTTTTCCATACAAAATGACTAGAACTTGCTTAGTAATCCTTGACAAATTTCACACACTGATATTTACACAGAGAGTGCCTTCCCACAGGAAGAAGACACAAGAATGATGAATCATAATCAATACAGGGGTGTATGTTTCACTTTTCAATGTGTTAATAAAAAAGATGATTAATTGCTCACACTTGTTCTTACCAATAATTCAACATTTGTTCAATAATTAATTTCACATCAAAATTTATTGTGGAAATAACTTGAACAAAGAGAAATTACTTAAAATTCAATTCAACAGATGGAGAATTATGGGCAGTATTGAATGCTCAATTGCCTACTTGAGGTCAACAGCTACTTACCACCAACATCTACCTCAATGACAAACTGCATGGGTCTTTGAACAACCTCTAACGTAAACATGACTGTCAAAAATTAGTGTGTTCTTCTTCTACAGTCTTCCCCACATTTCATAGAATTTAAAGGAAAAAACATATTGTGCAATCAAGAGCAGGATGTCTTTGAAAAGGAACTAATCCTACAATTGACAAATATGGTGAAAAAAAACTCCAGGGAGTGGAAGATGTGGTTTTATTACAAGTCAATATTTTAAATCTTATTGTTCTTGAATTCCCTAGAAAAAAGCTAGCAATGATCAAAGTTAATTCCAAGGTTCAGGAAACTTGAAAAAACCTTTTGAAATCAATTTTAACCTATGGTAAGAATAGTTATCAAATGAAAAATGAACTGTTAGCATGTCTTTATTAGTCTTAATTGCCTATGTCTTACTAATTTTAGAAGCACTTTTACGATACTGAGCCAATATCATTACAAAATCAATATCAGTTCAGTGCAAATTAAAAGCTCAAAAGTGATTCAATATACATCAATCACCCTGCAAGGCTAGTATTTGAAGCTCATGAATAAAGAATGATCTTTTCTTGTCTCATGGCTAAAACAAGCAACAGTGAGTTCTGTCATGATATTGAAGCTTATCCAACACAAAGATCCACTAACATTGTACAATGATCTGACAAAAAGTCTCTTGTCTCATGTCACATGACAGTAAAATTTTCAAGCAGTTGCATAGCCAACAGGTCAATGTGAGTGAAGCTTTTGAAAAAAAAACAAAAACCAACCACAACTACAGTTACAAAATGCAAAGATTTCAAGGGCATTATCCATAGGTTCATAGGTAAGATGACTCATAAGCTCTACAGGTAAATCGATTCATAGTACAAAGTGGATAAGTATTTCTGATCCAAAACTCTTTCTGACACTAGTCTGTAGTTTGAGACACTCTTTGAACAATTTTATATCAAGTTTCAAAGTGTTCAGCTGTCACATTTCCCATAAAGAGGTTAAAAAACCAAAATAATTTCCAATTACTTCATAGTTATTTATAGTAAAGATTTTTGACATGTATTTTGCAATTAGTGATTGGCTCAAAATAGTTAATCAAAACTATTGTTTAGTTTTCTCAAAGCCATCCAAGATGCTGGCTTGAATTATTTCCTTGCCCATGACTAGAAACATCAGATTTTTTCTAAAAATCATGCCTGTGATTTCTCTTCAAGATCTTCCTATTATTTTTTCCTTAAAATCACTTTTGAGATTGGTTGATAGGATTGAGTCATAGTTTTTTTTTCTTTATTTCAACTCTACTATAAGCACACTGCCCAAATTCTAGTCACATAGCTAAACAATTAAATCACATGTCCAGTGGTGTTTACATGCACTGCCATCATTAGGTGCCCAGGGGTCACACAAGGAACAGTACAAGTTACAGGCAAAAGCAAATAAGTCCAGTCCAAACAATCCCATTCTCAATTGTAATGACCTTCTACTCAGGTACTGAGGTCAGTGTCTCAGCATAATTAGACTCATCTCCGAAATCATTTGTGTACAGCAATTCCTTTCCAAGAAACCAAAATTTTAAAATGGAAGCAAGTTCACAAAAGAATTCTAAACTACTGCATAAAAGAATCACTAACCTCTAGTTTCCTCTGCTTCTTCTCTCACAGGATTGTCAAAAGTGAGGTCTTCATCCCTCAATGTTACATCTAATTCATCATCATCATCTGTATAATCCAAGATTCCTATGTCGTCTTCATCAGCATAAAGACTAACAGAGCCATCAGACATGTTATCTGAATAATGTAAATCATCCAAGTCCTCAAGTTGACTGAAAGAAGATGACACCAGGTTTTTACCTTCATCAGAAGTTTCCTCAGAGTCATATCCATCAATTGAAGGCTCATTGACAACTTCCCCATTGTATTCAATGACAACTTTTGGCAATGTCATTCCTGAACTTCCATGTTCTTTTTCTGTTCTATTTCTGTCATTATTAGCACTCCTGCTCACCTCATTCTCATGGATATTACTTTCAATTTTGAATTCATTATTTACATTTGAAGTTCTAATTTTTGATCCAACAGATGTCACTGTTCCCTTACCACCGCTGTCATCAAACTTTTCTAGGCCATCATTACCGCTGTCATATTCAACAACCACATCAGGTTCTTGATGTGCAGTCCTGCTTGCACCATATGAGTCTGATGACCATGATTTCGGGCTAGAATTCTCATCATAAGTATTTTTATCAGTAACTGATTGCTTTTCTAAGCCATCAAGATCTAATTTTGCTTTTTCTCCTTGCACAAAACTATTACCTTGAAAATTATATTGTCTATTACTCCCAGATGAACTCAGAGGCTGGCTTATAGCACTAATTCCATCCCTGAAATTCCTTGGTAAAGAATTGGTGACATTTTTTCCAGTTTTCATACCATGCAAACCAACTGACATTGGCTGATTGGTTTTTTTTTCTGCATTAACTAAAGAGTCAATATTTTCTTTAATGTTCTCAGAATTTGTTGTCTCGTCCTCGTCTGTTAATGTGACTGGTTTGAATCGTCGACGGTTTGCCGACAAGGTCTTTTCAACAGGTTTTCGCTGTCTGGAACTATAGGGCGTCTCATATTTGGACAGTCGTGAAGCAATGGCAGAATCTAAGGGGGTCTGTCTGTTTGGAAAGCCAGCTCCAATCTTTGGTAAAATATAGTTATCTTCACTAGAAGTCCTTCCATAGCCCTGCCATTTTGCTATCCTTGAAGAAGGACTGTTATTACTGCTGGCTGTATCAGATCTTAACTGCTTACTATTATTCAATACATTGTCTTCAATTTCATTTTTAAGGGGATTATCCACCAACTTTGCTGACAATTTGCCAGTTGTTCTGTCAATTGACTGCGTTTTTTCAAACCCACTTATTGGAAATGATCGCTTTGTTTCTTCGTTTAGCGTGTCGTAAGCTAAAGAACCCAAAATCTCGTCGTCCTCTAACGGCGGGGGTGATGTAGGAAGAGGAGGTGGATCGTTGTCACCTCTGTGATGATCCTCATCCACCAACCGGATTTTGGGGTCATCTACCACACTAACTACGTTAAGATCTGTTCTTTCGGTCAAGAGCTCTCCATTTTCGTAATTTTTGTTTCTTTCAGGTTTCGGAGCCACTTTGGGACGATTTGTTCGCGGCTTATCACTAAGTCGCGGTGAAGATCTTGATTGAGAGAGTTCTCTACTTGAAACCGATAATCCTACATCGTTGGAAAGAATGAGCGCTGATGGAAGGTTTGGTTTTTCGTTTAACACGTTTACACGCTCATCTGAGAAAGCCTCATGGTCTTTAATCGAAGTTTGAGGACTATTTACATCAAAAGAAAAGTTGGAGTTCTTTTCGAGTTCTTTTCTTCGCGCCAAGGGTGAAGGTGATCTTCGTCTTGGACTGCGAGGCCTTGTTTTTGTCAAATTTTCGAGCGTGTATTCTGTCTGTGGTGGCAAAAGTGATCCTAACTCATCAACTAAACTTGAAGATTCCTCCAAGTTGTCTTTTGCACTAACTCGATTCACGTTAGCAATGGAACGAGAGCCATGATCTTCTCTCACCACAGAAAATCCAAACGGCTTGTTCGAGTCCTTCGATAAACCAGGCAACGCAAAAGCGCTTGGAGTAAAACCTCTTTTAGCCATTCTGTAGTAACAGTCTACTTGTAACGGGAAGCTTCGACGATGCCATTAGTAAATGAGGCAGTTAAACTTTCAAAACAAGCAATAATTTCAGCATGATAATTGAGTTTGCTTTACACTCAGCTGTGCATTCACTTACTAACACATGCATAATTTATGCATATTTGGCAGGCTGCGTGTTTGTTTGTGTACATGCCTGTGTCACGTAGCGTGATTGACAGCAAGACACGAGTTGTAAACAAGTAGACGATGAAGTCCTTGCTCGCAAAGATAATTACAGTGATCGAAAACAAACGACTCAAGTTCTGTTAAAGGAACACATTAAATATGATACCCGATTAAGCCGGACCGTAATGTTTGAGAGAATGCTTAACAATGAACCATTCAAGAGCTAATCACCCCCTTCATAAAAGATGTCTTACGAACACTATTATCCGGTTTCAATCACATTCCTCCCCATTTACCTCTCTCGTAAGTTCTGTTTATGTTATGTGGCTTGAAATTGTGCTCATCTACTAATCACTCAAGGTGGCGAAAAAACACCCAAAAAAACATCTTATTCCTCAAGAGCAGTCGCCCCCAATTTTCCACTCCCTGAATAGAAACTGACCACTCATAACTAACCCGTTAGGATCACTTACACCGGAACTGATTAAGAGCAAACGTCTTGTTATAAGCCTTTCACGGGGAATTTTAAAGCTTTTCAATAGCTGAGGTTCAAATTTACCATAGTATATCGTGCTTGCAAAACCTCACCCTGAAAACGAAATCCAAACCCTCTAGCGGATATGATTGGAGCTGGGTCCAAATGACACTGCACAAATGTATTTCAGAGAATAGAAAGGGTAAGTTTCTGAAGAGACTGTGGTGCTGCGTCGGTGGGGAAGTATCACAAGATAATTTTATTTTATCAACTGAGTTGATAATGTAAATTGGCATCCCAAAAAGTTTCTAAGCTGAAATTTCGAGCGTTATCTCTTCGCCATTCGCTTTGACGAAAGGGCTGACGCTTTAAACGTCAGCTTGGAAACTCTTAACGGTGGCCAATTTGCAACTCAGTTGATAAAACCAAATTTTCTTGTATATTAGAGAGTTTGCAAGAACTTTGGCGTTCTCTACTGTGAGTGGCAGACTGAGCTGTTCAGCCAGTCTGTCCGTTAGGACTTAACCTAAAAGTGTTTGCGTGATGCGAAAATGCTACGAGTGGGGGCAATCACGATGGACAATCTGAACCTTGTTAAGTAAATTTTTCGTCCTTTCTGGAGAAGACATGACACGGCAAGAGTGGATTAGCTAGTTGATTCTCTCCTCCTCAAGGTCCCTTTCACCGCAGAAGTATCAAAATTGAGGTGCATGCAAGTCACTCTGATTTCGAAATGTCCAATCCAATTTCCCAGGGTCTCGTATGTTTTCGGACGGTTCCGACGGAGAGAGGGAAATTAGAGAGATATTAGAAACTGGTCACCCCAAGGGGTTAAAAGGTTATCAGAACGACACTGACGATTAAAACATAAACAAAAAAAAAAAAGAAAGAAAATATCCCACTCAATTGTTGCAAAGTAAAAATTTAATCTAGGACCATTTAAAATTACAAAAGTAGAATGCTGATCACGTCAGACGAGTTATGTCCTAGCGCGATGTATGGTTTTCTAGAGAACTAGGATATTCTCTCTGCACACACGTTTAGAAGCCTTCAAAAGCCTGGTTCTTTAGGTATCGCTATCTTTGGGTGAACAATCCTTGGGTTGAGTCGTACTTCAGAGGTAACCCGTGATCTCGTCCCCTACAGAGAAAATACAGCAAAAGGTTCAGCAAAAAAACAAAATAGTTTCTTTGAGCGTACAAGTATCTCTTGCTTATGGATTCAAGACAAGATATCTCGAATCATTGTAGCGCTCCTAGAAAATTTCCCTCTAGCAAAAAGCCCACAAGGACTTATTAATTTCCGGGATGTCCAGACAGATCATTCGTAAGGTTCATGAAAGTTTCGCCCCATTGCAAGTTCGCTCCCTTACCAATTCGCTTCCATCACTACAAGTTGGCCCCCATAAAATGAAACGCGTTCCTTCACAAGAAGGGAACAATAACAGTCTTAGTAAAGATCCGATCTTGTCAGATTCGTCAGAAAAGGGACACTTTCTGCCCTAAGGAAACGTCATTATAAAACTGTCATAAAGATGTGTTTTTTAATGATTTAATCCCGTTTCCAAAAAGCATTAGTTAGCTAATCACAGTTCCCAAACTTTCATCTTTCATGAAGTTCATTACTTTTACCTCGGAACTATACTGAAAAGAAAAAAATTGAATTGGAACTAGGTCACTGTCGCAAATATTTGGTTCAGAAATGCCAGCCTACTGAATACTTACTTTTTAACGCGAAGAAAAAACTTCTCGCGATCAAATGTTTCTGCACCTTCTACGTCGTTCAGACTTCCACATTCCAGATAGATATCCAAACACATCTGAAAGGATGTAACATAGTGCGATTAGTGTAGACAAGCTTTGTGTAACTCATACGTGAAATACAACAAATGATAGCAATTTCACTTGAGTACACATTAAGGGCACATTATCAGGTAATCAGCCATCCTAGAGAAGAAAAAGGACCCCGATGATCATCTTGATAAACTTGATATTCAAGAAAAAACTAGAAAAGTTTGTTCAAAGGAACTCTACACACACAGGAGATCATCTGTCTGATCAGTTTTTCTTTTAAATAAAGTCTACCAAGAAGTTCAATGGAGAAGTTCCTGCATCATCATAATTTCCAGACTGGAAATCGATTTTAATAATTTAAACATGTACACTAGCACTTTTCAAATAAAAGAAAACTTTGAATAAGTCAGCCACTTTATTTTGAATAAGTTTCTTACGTGTTGGAGACATCGACATAAAAGTTCACTCAGGATGAACACGGATGTCACATCTTACAAAAAGAGACTAACGACGATTTCTTTCCTCTATCGGCCAATCATACAATAGCTCCATTGACTTATCAACCATACCTATAGCCCGGGACCACCGTGGACTGTTCTTGCACAGGACACCTAACTTTCGCCTCTCTCTGCCCAGGAGAATAAATGAGGACTAGCGAATTGGCAGGGAAGCCTAAAAAAAATTTTAGGGGGTAACCAGAATCTCCTGGTTCTTGTCCCGTATCTTATCCAGGGGGAGAGGCGATTCCTTTATTTACTGTGGCAGTTGTAATAGACAGGTGGAGAGGGGGGAGGTGGAAAGGCACGAGGGGGAAGGGGAGAGTAGAGAGGCACAAGGGGTAAGGGCAAAGTAGAGAGGCACGAGAGGGAAGGGGAGAGTGGAGAGGCACGAGAGGGAAGGGGTGGGTGGAGCACTTTTGTCGTATAGAAGACAATCGCCCATGAAGATGTGTTGTGTTACAAACCTGTAAGCGGCGAAGCTGATTGGCTAATAGATTTAAAGAAGAGTCGTGCTCTGTTAGTTCCGGGTAGAAAACATTCACTTCCGCTTCAATCGCCTGAAAAAAAAGTTACATTACAAAGCAAGACTCAGAAGCACAATCATAGCTACAGTTTTTGCATTATGCTTACATGCAGGGGGTATCCATGAATTCATGCTGGCTTGCAAGGGAAATTAAATCTGACGTATACCTTCGTGAGGCTGTCTCTTATCACCGTCTTCCCACACGTCACTGCTATGGAAAAAAGCGGCGGGGTTGTTGGATACTCTTGGGACAAAATCACTGAGACCTTCAGTTGAACTGAAAAAAACAAAAACACCAGGATATTAGTCGTAGAATAAGAACAACAACAACAACCTTATTAACGACAAAAGCCAACCTTTGCTTCTTTCAAACACAGCTTGGAAAAGCATGTCACTTTCTTGAATGAAACCTTCTTCAATAAGATTTTTGAGCTCTGGTCTTTCCTGTAAAAGAGATTTTCTTTATTATACTTGGACTGCATAATATTGGAGAACATCGCCTGATTAATAGTCGCCGCCAGAGGGTAATATACTCATACCTGGAATTCTTCAAACGTTACTGGTTGCCAGGAGGTCAACTTGGTTGAAATCTTGGTAGGAAACATCTGTAGAGAATTCTTATTTCCTGGAATCGTCAAATTTTCTGAAAATTTAGATAGAAAGACAGAAATACTATCAACCGCATAGCTGTGTAAATAAAACTAAAACAGAACAGTTGAATCAAGTTTGCAAACGGCATTGACTTGGTTTACCAAAGCGAACTCTAAAAACGTGTCGTGCAAAAAAATTTCGTATCCGACGATGTGAGAGCCTTCGACGTACCCTCGAGTGCTCGAGCTTATCTCGATTGGATAATAAAACTCGGAACATTTAAGAACGCCTCGACAAAGATTTCCAAGTACATATCGCTTACGCTCATGAAATTAGAAGTTTTTCTTATCCAAGCTTACCAAGGGAAGTCAGTTGTTGTTGCAGAGCGAGTCTGGCTAAGATTCTTGCTCTTATAGCTTTGATGGTTGCTTCCATATGAGACAAACTAACTGACGACTTTGGCAAAACTTCCTGCAATAAAGGTGAACAGTAAACCATTTGAGTGAAGAGCATCCATGCACAGTGCACGTTTAAGTAAATCGGAAGAAACCGCCCTTTTTAAACCGCTGCTTATTCTACGTTTCAAAATGCTGTGAAACATAAAAAAATAAATAAAAATTGTAACATCCTCTTACATGTAGCTCCTTGGCCAAAAAGTTCAGTCCACAAATCCGCTGAACCCACATGTAAGGTTTACCCACTAGGCGGACAAAATCTGTAAAAGTAGTCATTCTGAAAAAGAGAACCAGGTCAAATCTTATTGACGAAAGGTAATAGACTATTTTATAGACTGCATTGAAAAAAATATTAATAAAAAAAAACTTAACTACACAAATTCAAAAGGATAACGAAAGTGTTCAGTTTGTCTGGATATTTCCATGACTCCCACCTTCTTAAGTTCCAAAACAATTTGAAAAACTGTTCGAATTTGGAAAAGCATTACAAAAAAAAAAGAACGTATACAGGTGGAACAAAGCTTTAAGAGTTAAGATGATGTGGCCAACTCGTTGATTGAGACTGAGCTTCTCCAGGTCTTTCCCAGTTGATGTGCAAAGCCTGTGAATGAGTTTAAGCTGAAATAATTTGGGCGCACAATCTATCACTCAAATATGCAGAGCATGTTTCACAGCAAATCATAACTCTGCTCATAACAGAGCCGTTGAGCTCAATTTTCAACAAACAAAACAAAAAAATATTTTAAAACAACAAAAGAATGAAGAAAACTAGCCAGCACTGGGAGTATCACAGTCTCCTTTGCAGCCCTTCTTTGGGATGTCACACAACACTCAGGAGCGTTGCGTGTCATCCTAAAGAACAGCTGCGATGGAGACTGGGAGCATCCCCCCGTAACCATTTTTTTTTTTGCACATCATTTTTGGCGAGTCGCCACTTTTATCCAGTAATATCAACCATCACCTGTGCCTTTAGACAATCATATGATACACCCTAAAGCTAATAGAAAAAATCCTTCTTACCCAACTTTTGAAAGCTGATACAAGCTGGAAGGGTTTGGAGCCGTGTTTCCATCATCATCAGGAAACAGATTGATTAGCAGCGAATCAGGGGAAAGAAGTGTGCTGAAAACAAATGCATTTGACAATTAAACACCAGTAAAGGTCTGTTTCCATGTTGGCCAGAAATAACCAAAAGTTGAATGCTGCAACTGAGTAGGTGCAACTTGGTACAATTAACATTACTTAACCCTCAATTTGCACCTGTAGATCTGTGAGAAAAAACTGTATGTTCACTTGGTTAGAGGAGATTACAAGGGAAGGAGCACTTTTTAATCAATCTTCACCATTTCATAAGACTTCACAAATTAATTGCTTACCTATTTGCCAACACTGGTTCTGATACCGCTTCATTCAAATTCAGTGATGGTGAGACCACCACAGTGTTGAATGTTGGCAAAAAGGAGAATAACAAATCAAGTGTTGCTTTGTCTGAAAAAGAAAATGATTCAAGTTTGTGGGAAAATAATTGAAACAAATTAGATCTACCACTAGATCAAATACTTCAAAATCCAAACTTGCTGGGCAGTCCAGAAGAGTGGAAGCAGTTTTTAGGATACTTCTACACTCTAGATTAAAACCTCACAATAATCAAGCCATTATTTGCAGTCTTCCTTGGACTACACATATCCTTGTGGTCAGAATCTTTTCATCCAGTTTGGTGGAAACATTTTTTTTTCAATAACAGTAGCAAAACCCTCTCACATGTGGTAATACTGAATATGAATATTCCTGTGAAATAATGGTGTAGTGCCAATGCATAAAACATACCTTTACACTTTACTTGTATTAAGATTTGAAGAGGGTGCTTCTTAAGTAACAATTTCCTTTTCTCCTCCAAACGGGCCTCTTCTTTTTTTCTCCTATGCTTGGACTAAAAAGGAAAAAGATTTAGGGCACTCTTCTCTTCTCCATTAAGGTAGATCTCACAAGCCCTCCTGGGACCAAGTAATGATAACAAATTTTTTAAACAAGACTAGTTTGGACAGGTTAAAACCAAGTCAATACAGCAGTTTCACCAATGTTATGTGAGAGTTTTAGGGAATGCTTTGGGGACATAGCCAGATGCTTTGCCAAATGTGCTTTGCTACTCTACTTGCTTTGCTTCTATTCCTTCCCCTGCATTTTGATTGCGTGTTCACTCCACACAATGGTTTGTATGTGTTGTGTTGACAGGTGCCTGGAAGGTTGCAGCTCAGCTGTCATGGTGACCTCCCTATGACCATTTCCACAGAAATGGTCATAAGCCATGTAGAGCGGTGTGTCATATAATAAAGTACTTACTAACCTGAAATGCTTGTGCCATACCAGGGAATATTGGCCCTCCATCATTTTTGTACACACCTTGCTGGCCTTGTACTGCCACAACCGTAAGCTAATATTTCCTGGTACGGCCCTCACACTCAGTTAGTAAGAAGTTATTAATAAGCCATGATCCCTCTACAAATCAAACTGTAAATATGGATAATTATACGCTGTACTGAACTCGCACCCTTTTGTGTCCCTCTGTGTTTTCCTGATCTGAATCACTGTCAATGTCTGCAAACATAAAATACACATGTACCTGTGACTCCACATAAAATTGTGCAATAACTTTCAGGTAGACTGACAATACTACTAATCACCATGTTGAAAACAAACCTCTAACAGCAGGTTTAGCTTCCATAGCAGCCTTTGCAACATCTAAATCACCGAGAATCTTGACTTCCAAATGAGGATCACATGCCTCATTGTACGCTGATGCTTGGACATACAGGATGTACAGTGATTGAGGGAGATACCGTGCTGTTTCATGCTGTGCTCGCTGAGCATCCAGTGGCATGTTCATGTACTCCTGAACAGGTTGTGTGGCCTGAAGATCAAATGAAAAATATTCCTTGAAGATTCTTGAAAGAATGAAAAATTTAGCATTCTAATTTTTTTTGTGATTAATGTCCATCAGCTACATGTACCTTTAAAATATTTTCTAGTCTTGGTTGTAGACTGTCCAAGAATTCTTTCTTGGTGTGGATTTCTTTCAAAAGTGTTTCTTTCTTTTTCAGAAACTGTTCTTTTTGTACTGCCAATCTGAAGTAAGAAAAAAGGGAAACAAAGAATGAAATTCAAACAATTATCCTGAAACATAAAACAGTATGGCAAAGGAAGGGAAAGGTAGAAGGAAAGGCAGTCAGTTGCCATATCTAGAGAGAGAAAATCTGTAAAGCCTACATCCCAAAAGCAGGGAGGGTACACTGATACCCCAGGGTAGAAACCACAAACCCTCAACTAGGATAAAATGCCACTCCTGGGACCTACCCAGCTGAGTTCCATAAGCCCCAATTCACTCCCCTGTGGCACCATAACACTGGAATCAACTTATTTAGTAGAAAAGACAATGATATGAGTTGGAAAGTCTCAGAAGGGTGACAAAAGAGAGACACTATAAAACTTATTGACAATGAAAAATAATGCACAAATGCCATAGGGCCTAAAGAAAGAGAGAAAAATGCATTTTACACATGCAGATCACAAGCCAGTAGGAATAATCTTTTCATTAAGTATCAGTTCCAAAAATGTTGTTTCTTACTTCTGTTGCCTTATCCCTTTCATTATGGCTTTAACTTTTTAACTCCCAAAGTGATCAACAAAAACCTTCCCCCTATAATATCCTTACATTATCCAGCAAACAGGTGATGAGAATATTCAAACTTATCAGTTAGAAGTTGTTATCTTGATCTAACACCAAATTCTCATTACTAATTTACAAGGAAATATGTAGCAGCTCGAGGGGAGAATTAACAATTTGATCTTGGGAGTTAAAGGGTTAAAGATCACTCAGAAACTTAAAATTGAATGCTTCTTTCTACAGGTATATTGCTTTTCAATGTAAGTTGTTTTAGCATAAATCACTTTTGGGAATTATAGGATTATGGGTAAGTCTTACTTCTTCCTCTGCTCCAGTTCCCAGTCAAGTCTTGCCAACATCAACTTATGAGAATCTCCTTTGGTGACATCCTTAAAAATTAATTTGTTAACTTCAGTAGGACTTCCAAACTCACTGGCCTAAATACCATGCATATCGGTGATAATATAAATATTCACTGAGTATAATTAGACTAAAACCTGGTTTCTACAAAGCATTTTTCAATTGAGTGACAAAGTATTATCAATTTTGCTTGACATCAGTTTTTGATTTTTCTACAAAACTTTTGTCACCCAATACACCGATTGGATGCAAAACTAAAACCTAAACCAAATCCTTTACTCACAGGTTTGGATATTTCATTTGGAGCATCTCTAAAAAATTCAGCTTCTGACACCAGCTCTATTTCTTCATCTTTTGACCTAATAACATTTAAAGAAAGAGAAATTTATTCAGTCTAGAGAAGGTTAAAGTCTGCCTTTAGTCAGAACCTCTTGTACAGTCAGATGGTTTTGTATTTGTCAAGGCAAGTAAGAATACAGCTACTCTTACTGAATGAGACTTTACAGGAAGTACACTAACTGTTAACTTAAGCATTTCATCACATTTCTGTTAACAATTTTCAGCACCCTTCAGTACTGTGTAAGCAAAGAAGTAAGTTAAACTTAATTTTCTCACAAAAGATAACAACACAGCTTAGATATTTAACCCAAAAGGTATGCAAAAAATACCCCAATTTCATGGGTTAATGAAAAGGCACTGGCCTGAAAGGTTACTACCAGGCCTTCCCAGCCATGTAACCCATGACTGCCAAAGCCCATCCTGGTGATTTCAATGACATGAAGCAAAAAGGAGTATTCCTTCTCCTTCTGGATATGGTGTCATACCATATGATGACTTCCAAGTATTTATAAAGTTTCCATTATAGTTTCCTAGGACTCATCTATACTCCTGACTAAAAGAGGTACACAACACAACGCCTGGCAAGGGCTGAAGTCTTGGCTCTCTTGATTCAGGGTCCAGTGAGGCAACCAATTCACCATCACTACCACAAAATGAGGCCAAAATGATTATGCAAAAGGAGGGTGTGATGGTAAGAAATTTTCAAAACATTTTCAAAGAACACTTTACTTACTTGAACTCAAGACATTTTGTTATTTCTTTTTTCAAGTGCATCACTTCATAGAGAAGGTTCTGTAACTGCAGGTGGAGACTATCCACTTTCTGTTTAGACTGAAAGTAAGAATAGAAAAAAATAAAAGCTTGATAACAGCATGGATGAACAAATATACCTTCTGCTGACAAGTTATTTATAAATGATTTATTAGTTCTTTGACTTGCTCATATCCTTTTTCATACTACTGGATGTTCTGAAAACAAGTCATTGTCTCCAAAAACTTCTGCCATCCAACAGCATTAATTTCACAGAGGATATTTTAGTTTCTAGCATTCATGGAAAATTTTCATAATCTAGTTGGACCTGCTGCATGTTTATGATCAGCTTCATCAATAACCTCTGAACAAAAAATTCAAAATAAAAACTGATAAGAGCTAAGTTTTTTTTCACTGTTTTCATTTGCTAATTACAAGGAAACAATGGGAAATTTTTGCCAGATGCACAATAGTCACACTCTGTATACTTTGCTTTTGGTAGGAAAATTAGAAGGTAACAGGATCTTCGAGAAACTCTCTAGCCATCTGACTGGCTTTTTTTGCTATAGTGCAAGATACATCTTGTAGTTTTAAAGATTTCAGGTTTAAATGATTTCATTTAACAATGAAATCCTAATTAATTTAAGCAGAGTAGTTTACTATTAAGCGTTCACTGACCTCTTGAGTTCTCTCTCTAGCTTTCTTACATCGCATATGTGCAAGTCTGTTGAGTTTTTTCAAGATCGTAAACAGGAGAGTGCACCTTATCCTGGACTCACTGACATCTGAATCCTAGTGAAAAAAAAAAAAACATTTCCACATTATTGTTCTCAACACCAGTGTCAACAATGCCAGCAGAGAGCTCTCTGAACTGGTTTGAGGATAAAGACTATAACATAAACCCAAGCATAATCAGGCTTGTCAGAAAACCATGTTTTGAATTTGCTTTATAAGAGTATAGCTATAAACAAATCAGAGGACAAGGTAACTTCCAAAAAATAATGATGGCAACCATTTTGAACAGAAGCAGGTGTGCCACTGCTGATTCATTCAAGGTCCTGACTTTTAAGTAGACTGTATTGACCCTTTACACCCTTATATCAGTATGTAAATTCTCCAAACTGTCCTCTATAGATTTCCTAAGGTGGTGACAAGGAGAATTTGTGTAATAATCAAGAGCTTCTTTAATTGGTGATTGTTTCCTTTATTCTCATAACCTTAATGCTTGATTAAGGGGTGATTTTTAAAGCAGAAATTAGAAGCTAGTCACTCTTTGGCATCAAAGAAGTGAACGATACGGTATCACTGAAATGTAAGTTGACAGTCAACAGAAGTTAATCCTTAATTCACAATCCTTGATTCTTGAAAACTTGGAGGATCTTGGCTGGAGTTGAGTTTCTGACATTAAAGACCTTTTGAGAATTATCATTTTGTCTTCATAATCTCAATCTTCTAAGCAGCAAACTGAACAGTTTGATCAGTCCATTGCATAATGTGATCCTCATAAGAGGGTAGTCCTGAAAAGAAATGCTGCCAATGACCGTGACTGATTTTTGACAACCTAAAAGGACGTTGTTTCATTTGAATCTGATAATGATAGCCTCTCTCAGACCAAATGTCAGTTACTCTTACCAACAACAGTTCTTTTCAGGAACTTTCCGATCACACTATGCCATCAACCGTTGTTCCTGTGTTTAAACAATTCATTGTACAAAATGATCGCTTTTTGACTCTTTTAAGTTTCTAGATCTTACCTCGAGTTTTTGCTTCTGAATTTCTGCTACAAGCTTTCTGATTTCCTCAGTTCCTCTCTCAAAAGAAGCAACATCAGCAGCAGCACTTCTTTTCTCCACCTCCGTATCCTCTATGTTCGTAACATGTTGACCATCTGAAGATTTAGAAGTACCATCTTTAGTTGTAGTAGAAGCAGAAGCGGCTGCAGTTTTCGAACTGGTTGGAGATGTAACCACTCTCTTCTCCTGCGAAGGACTACCTGCATCTGATGGCGTGCGTGTTCTTCTACGTTTCATTTTTGGCCACAAAGTTGATCAAAATTCTGAGACAGACTAGTGGATTTTGGAGAATTACTTTGCAATGTCAAATTCATATGTAACTCCACGCAGCCGCCATCTTTACTCCCCAATAACGCATGCTTTTACTTGAAACACCTCTAACATACCCCGGCTGTGTCCCTGCTGTCTCGTATTTACTACCACTACCATATTTGGTCATTTGGAGGGTGTCGTTGCATATTATGGTTTATCGCTGCTTAATCATGACATCATTTATTTTCATTTCTTGTTCTGTTGACGTCCACACCTTCCAAGGGAAAATTTGGAAGAGGTTTGGATGATAATGTAGTATTTTACGATTTATTCATGCATGAATCAACCACGAACAGTTGATGTCGTTGTGAGTGATACTCAAGATATTTGTAAGCTGTTTTTGTTGGGTTATCAGTTCGCTCTTCTGTCCAAATTTAGGACGTGAAGGTAGCCATTTTCCAGAATCAGTAGCTCATAGGATAACGCTCCTTCATTGTTTTCACGAAGCGATTTCCTGGAAGAACACTGAAGGAGATGGCTGCGGTAAGAGTAGTTAACGCATAATTTACGTTGTCGATTTACTTTCACTAGCGGAACTGATCAAATCTTCAATTTTCGATTTGTAGCAAGCCGAACAACCCTCTAGTATGGTTTACGTGCAAGCAAGTGAGCTCTTCCCGAAGAAGACGCTCGCTTCAGGTTAGTGCCAAGTTTCATGCTGTGTCATCTCCAACCCAAGATGCTCATAGTTTTTTGTAGATCTACTTCGTTAGTTATACGAATTCATAACACGATGGCGAGTTTAAAATTTGCCAACCAAGCGGTATGTGGAAATAGTTTTCACCATTTCCGTCTAGACTACAGATTTATAAGCTCATCGCGGGCGTTTTATTTGCCTTATCTTGTAAACTTGCTCGGGCCGGATTAAACTCGTTCCATTTATCTACTATTTTACCTTGCATCCAAATAAACGTCTTTGCGATCTAACTGGACATTTCGACTCAGACGCAGGTTTGGTTTGTCAATCTTAATTAGTTTCCTTGTAGCAGATCGAGTCATCAAGCGCTTGAAGACTGTCAAATTAATTGTTATCAATTGCCGTGGTGTATACTAACGAACCATTAAATTTCTTCTGACTTTGTTATGATGAGAGGAGTACATTTTGATATTTGAAGTGTTGGTTGAAAATTAAAAACGTCCTAAAGTACTTAAAAATCATGCCCCACAAATGATACAACGTTAATATTTGATATGGAGTGACGAGCTAATAATAGGTAGTACCGTTGTCAAGAGGTCGCGTTTTAATTCCCTTTGGTCAGAAAGGTTATCATCCGTGATAAAATTGTGTCAAATCTTTTTGTTTTCATTTTCCAATTGTGCATGTCTGTGCATGTTCAAATTGATAACTGAGCTTCTGAAAACACAAGCAGATTAGTTTGTACTATTTGTTTCCAAATTTGAACATTCTCTACTGTGTTAATAGTCTGTTTATATTTACGTTTAATTAATAATTTAAAATAAAGGATTTCTAGATAGCAATGCACATATCTCGAATTTCACGTTTTTAACTTTCTATATTAGTAATAAGTTTGAAGGGAGGATTGAGGTGCCATAATTTGCAGCTGATAAAGTAAATCTGTATTCATTGATTCAAATCAATCAAAGTTTGCTTTGCAAATGGGAAATGCAAGATGGCGATCTCCACTTCTGCTCAGAAAGCCACAAGATGTTCCTCGAAAATGCTCTCAAACACATTGTAATATTGCTATCTTTCACTTTTATTTAAATTTTTTTTGCTATTGTTTTTGCTTTCCCATGTAGTGAAAGCCTTATTAGATCTAGTTAAACACCCACTCTCCCTCAAAACAATAGAGGAAAAAAAAAGTTTTAGCAATTTGCCTTCTTCTTTGAACCCTCTACATGTATTTGTTCTCTTCAATAGAAGATGCCGCTCAGATACCATTTCCTGAACTATGTGGAGAAAGTGTGGAGTATCTGGAGAAAACATCTGGTGCCTTGCTTACTCTCTCCAACTTTCGTCTCTTTATTCGTTTCAAAGACTCGTTTGTGAATGTAAGTTTTCAATTTTGTCCTGATAATTTTAATCTTTGTTCTTTACCCAGGTCTGAATATCAGATCTCTGGACTGTCCACCTTATAATTCTAAATTTTTTCTCTGAGATGAATTATAGTGGAATAATTGTTTAGTATAACAACTTCTACTGGGGAAAAGAGAAAGACAAAGGCATGAAAGCAACAGAATCAGGCTATGAGTTCATTTTGTTTTCAAACAAAATTACTTCTTTTTACTCCGTTTGTTTTGTCACTGAAACTCCAGAATCCATGCAACGGATTTTTTTAATCCTCCAATTTCAGTGGTACAACATTAAACTGAACATACATTTTATTGGTCTGATAATGAAAAAGCTTGATTCTGCCTTGAACTTGTTTCTCTTAGGTTGGTATTCTCTGATTTGTCTTTTCTCTATTTCAGATTCCCTTGCGGTTGATAGAGTCTCTGGAAATGAAAGATCTTTTTTGGATGGATGTCAACTGTAAGGATGCCAGGTCTTATAGGTGAGACAATGCCTTAAATTTCTTGTACAATTGTAGAGCTGAGGATAATTTTTCAGGATCACGTATACATGTAATATCAGGTAATTCCTGCATGTTTTCTTGTCATGGAATGTTTTAATTGTTGTGGTAAAGGTAAAGCAAATGCAGCTAAGCTTTTTACTAAGTTATTCATTCAACTTGATTTTTGAACTGAGATCTTTGATCTGGTGTAAAATGGGGTAATAGATGTGATTTTTTAATGCAAGATTTAAGGGCTAAGCTGACTAGAGTATGGAAATATCCGGGACTTCAAACCTAAATTCTTATAGAACCATAGGACTGGGATTTAGATGTTTCCTAATACACACCTGTTTATTGGGTTAGACGAGGGAAAAACCCTGTTATAAATGAAAAGTTTCTTGTGCCTGCCACCATATACCAATGTTCCAGTGGACTCAAATGTATACAATTAAAATACATTTTAACCCTTTGACCCCCAAGAGTGACCAGAATTAAATTTTTCCTTACAATATCATTCCTGAATCACACATTAAGGCCACAAGAATCAAATAAATGATCATCAACTAAAGAACTACTTAATTATAAACAAATTCTCTTAGTCATCTCTTAAGGAGATTTGTGGAGAAGAGTAAGGAGAATGTGCATACTGATGTTATGGTATAAAGGGTTGAAGGGCTTGGCATTTTGTGGTTCCTCCTTGGTATAAGTTTGGAACTTGATTTTTATCTGAGATGTTATCCCCCAGGTTTACCAATTGCTCTTTATTGCATTTTCTACAGGATTTTATTTGACAACAGTGAACAGTGCACGAACTGGTATAACCGTCTTAGCAAGTTCATCTGTCCTGTCTCGCGCCTTGAAGATCTGTTTGCCTTTGCCTTTTACGCATGGTGCTTGGACTATAACTCTGCAGAAAAGGATGAATTTACCAGTTTCTGTGAGCAAGGTAGGTGCAAAGCCGAGTTTTGTCAATCTGGAGAATTTTTCTGTGGAAGACAAATGTAGTACCTATTGCTTTCTTCAGTTCTTCACCCCTGTAATTCTCAAGATTTCAGTAGTGATTCATCCTACTGACTGCTATACATTTCCTCTTAATTATATGTTCTGATGTCAAAGAACAACCTCAAGCAGATAAGCTTGTTTGTTCTCATTACCTGTTTGCAAGATAACATAATGGAATTTCAAGAAGAAGCTGGATGCTAGACCTGCGGTATGATGTATGTGGTATGGGGTGTAAGGAAACACAGACATGATTTGTTACCCATTGAATTTCAGGTCTGACCTCCCTGACTTTTTGTGTACTTAAAACTCAAATAAATTTTGAGAGCATCTAAAGCACAGGATAACGGAAGCTCTGCATTATTGAATATTTCGAATAAAATTGTGCTGTAATTTTCTAAATTCTGGAAGTAATGAAAGTCATTCTTTCATTTTGTCCAGATGAAGTGCAGTATTCATTTATGTCAGAGGTCAAAAGAATGGGTTTTGATATTGATGCATGGAGGATCACAGACATCAACTCTAACTTTGAGTGAGTTAAATTTTTCCCTTTTTTTCATAACAATATTAATTTAGAAAGAGGAATGTTTCCTGTATTCTTGCACTCTAATAAGTTTAGATTACTTCATGGGTGGTGAACCCTTACAATTTTTATTCTCAAGTTGTAGAAATCACAAATGGACAAACAGTATGTCCACAATAACATGGCCACTGATTATTTCTTATTTACCTTTCTACTTCCAAATTTTTAATGATCCTGCATTGTTTTTCAGGTTGTGTTCTACTTATCCAAAACTCCATATTGTGCCCGCCATGATTACTGACAAAGATATGGAAGCTGTAGCTAAGTTTCGAACATCTCATAGGTTTCCGTCTGTTGTGTGGAGGTAAGGGTAGGAGCTACATCATGGTTTGTTCACCTTGGAATAAAAGTAAATTTCTCATCTGCATGCTGTTAGAGTGCTCTAAGTTGCGACTGTTTTGGTCACTATAGCGAGTGAAATATATATTTAGAAATTGAAATTTCAACAAGAGTCATCAATTGGTGACCAACAGTTTTGAAAAAAGAATTTGTAAAATATATTGATGTTTGGTTGAATTATCAAATGTCCAAATGCTGGTAACGCAAACATGAAGTATCCCCCCATTGATATGATTATCTTATTTTTTAAATTTTTTATTTATTAATTTTTTTTCCCTGCCAAATGTTTTTCTATGGTGACCATTTTACAGATGAAGGTTGCCAAAAGGCAGCTTTTTGAAAAGGGGAACTTGAAACCCTGTTTAAGCTATTCTATTTCAATCAGAGGTAATGGGTGTGTTATCTCAGTCAGAGGCATTTCATATTTATCTCCGCTCCACAGGCACATGACTAATGGAGCTGTTATAGCTCGCTGTAGTCAACCAGAGGTTGGTTGGTTTGGTTGGCGAAGTCAAGAGGATGAGAACCTTCTGCATGCATTAGGAAAAGCTTGTGCAACAGACTCAGTGTCTGCTTCTTTAAAGAAGCAACTCAT